AAAATATTTTTTAAAAAACATTATTTTTCGACAGGTTTTGTGCTTTGCCGTTTTGAAAATGTTCAAAAAGTTGGCATTTTTAATAACTTTTTTGTGCAAAATATCTTCACATTTCGATAAATATTTTAAATTAAATTTATTAATACATTCTTTCTTTATTATGATCAAAAAATTTCATTGAGATGTGAAGCTAGTTTAAGTGGTATGGCGTTCTAAATTTGTACAAGCCTTGAGGAACCGTTGGAAAGATGGCATGAAGAAATCAGTGGCTGTACACAGCTGATGGATGATGGTGATATACGTGCAGTAGATATGTCGTGTGTGTGTGTGTTTGTGTGCGTATATGTGTATTCATACCTGTTTGTGTGTGTGTGTTGTGTGTATACTATTACACATATTTTATGGCTTAGTCTGAATGTCGAAATAATTTTTTTATTTGCAGATGACATGAACGTGCATGATTTATAAAATTGTATCCCCTATAATTTCAAAACAGGTCACTTAACGTAATTTTTCTGTACTAGCTATGTTGAAAAGCGCACATGATACCTCCACCAACTATCTTTAAATAAAAAAATTTATTATCTTCTAAATTTTTTATATTCCGAAAATTTTCTTTCAAATTTTTGTTAAAAAATTTTAATTTCCTGAAAAATCAAAAGTAACGCTGACAAAATAATCGTTCTAATCATCCATTAAATATCAAGTGTGTGTGTTTGTGTGTGAGTGTTTGTGTGTGTTTGTGTGTGTGTATGTTAGGGTTGAGCTAAGGTTTTATTTGTAAGTTATTTAAAATTTTTCTCCAAATGTATTAATGTCTCAAGGCATTTTGATAATCATTTTTTATAGTCGGACGCCAGCCTTGCAGATAATATTAAAAGCAAAATTAATGATAAAAATAATAATTATAAAATATTTGTGGCCACACTTTCACCCACCAGCATTCGTCGGTCGTTACTAATTCCCTGCTTGATAAAAAGAATGCACGCCTTTCTGTAGGCCTAACACAGTATCTAACTGCACGTCCATCATCCTTGATTAAGATTCTCCATCCATGCTCGGCGTTTGTGTTTGCCAGATTCTGCTGGGTTACATTTCAGTAAAAATTGAAGTGGATTCACTTATTACTTTTGTTATTTATCTCTTACGATTTTACCTTTTGTTATGAAATACGTAAATACATTTTTTCTCTCTTAAGGTTAAAAAATTATTGTGGTAGCAATAAGGTGAGATCTAGTCAAAATTGATGGTCTTAACGTTCTAAAACACATTCTGAATAATTCGAATGATGCTCGTACCAAAGTTTGCTTAACATTTTACAGCATATGAACGTAACATGATATAACGAGAAATAACACAACATAAAATAACATGAAGAAATATAAAATAGCAGGACATAGCATGGTAAAATGTAACATAATGCATGCATGCACCTAAACATAGTTCTACTTACATTCATATTTTTGTGCATGCAAGCATTCGCGCGAATAAACACATTTCAACGTCAGAAATATTGGATGCAATTGATTTTCCCTTATCTGAGCCATCTTTCAATCGTGCTTATAAAACAATTAAATATATATATATACATATATATATACATATGCGTTATATACACATGTGTATGTATACGTGTATAAGTAAGCATTTGTAAGTGGCGTTTTGAGTTTTGTGTGAATTTTCATTCAAGCGTTCCTAACCATCCATCCATCCATCCATACATCCATCCATACATCCATCCATCCATCCATTCATTCAACCGCTCACTCACTGTTGGCTGTGTGCGTGCGACTCGCTGGATCTATCTTTATACAATTTTACGGATATAACGAAGTTTGTTTCATTTTCGAATGGCCTGCCTTCCTAGATAAATATCTCTTTTTGTATTTCTTTTTTTGTTTCTGTATCTTCCTTTGCATCGGCCAGTTGCACTTTCCTACAAATGCTACCTTGTTTGTGTTCGTACGTTTTTTTATGTGTGCCTCCTTATATTTGTTTGTTTCCATGTTTGTGTATATGTGCATATGTGTATATTCTGCCGTGTTTGTTAGAGTGGGTGTGTATTTCTTAACGTCATGTGCGTTTGTGTGCGTGTGAGTGTAAGCTACCACCTTCATGTCGGTGAATATTGATTTCGAATTGGCTTTCCATAAATAAAGATGACGTTTAATGTTAGATGGATGTTTGTTATTGTTGATCTTTCAATTTAAAATATCAATGCCAGTCTGCCAGTCTCCGCTATTTACGTTATGCTCATGAAATTGTCAAAGCCTCGTTCACTTTTTCATCATTTTGGGGTCAGCGTCATCGTCAGCAGCAGCACCATCATTATCGTCGTCGTCCTCTTCATCAGCACTACTACTATAACCATCGTCATTCATTACCATCGCCACATTGGTCATTAATTTTAGTCCTCCCCACGTCCTCCCACGTCGCCATTTTCACAATGTTATTTTCAGCTAGCACGTTGAAAAACAAAATGATTTTAACTGCTGCTCACCAATGAAGTTGTCAACCGCAGTGTAAAATGAAGATTTTATTTTTTATAAATAATGAAAATTTTGAAGCTGCAGCCGAGCGTCATCAAGTTGTGGTTGCGTGGGACTCTGTTTTTGAGCCTTCCCATCTTGAAATAACTGCAGCTGCGCTGCGAGACGACTTGTTGGTCGAAATTTTAATTTTGAAACAGTAGGTTCAATCAGGAATCTTGTGGTGCATTTGTGAATTTTAAAAAAGGAAACGGCTTTGATTTGTTCTGAGCAACATAAATAACATTACACGTTCATTGTTAACATTTCTAAATTTATTGTAAGTTTATCTATTGAACTTCATAAAAATCCACTGGTTTTAATTGGAAAATTTGTTAAAAATTGTGGGTTAAACAAAAAAAACCTTTCTAAATAATGTAAGCCTCCACAGTAAATTTCTTTTCACGTGGCAGAAAAACATAATACAAGATAAGGGGTGCGGTGAGTCTCTGGTTTGGAGCCTTAACCAGTAGTTCCTGATAGGTAAATCTCGCTTATCTTTTTTGGCTATTCATCCAGGACAAGAAACATCAGCTGCATTGCTATACCCATTCCTAAGATAAAAATAAAATTAATTAATTAATAGAAATCATATACTTAAAATACAAAACTTATAAACCAACAAATTTTTAAATTTTTAACAGTTTATAAAAAACAAATTACAATAGATTACTTTGGCTTTCCACATTTTTTATTTCTTTTCGTATTTTCCCAACAAAAACAGAAGTAGCGGCAAAATAGAATTTTTAAAGTTTCTTGAAGTTGAGGTTGATTTAGACAGGAAATTAATAAAATAAAAATTTTTCAAGATGAGGCGGTCGAGGTCAACCATTCTTGGTGGCAGTAAAATTCCGGCTAGTTTTTTAAAAATATCATGTTTCGTTCGCTATTTTCAAATTTTGTTGTCCTTGTGTTGTTTGTTTGATCTCTGATTGATAGCTGATTGTGATTGAGTATTTGTATGTATATATTGTATATTAATATATTTTATCACTAACTATTACATTACCTATCTATGTGTATCTATATTCATCTATGTGTGTATGTATCTATGTGTATATCTATATCCATCTCTATTCTCTATGTGTATCTATCTATCTTTGTACATCTGTCTGTATCTCTATGTGTATCTTCTGTATATATCTATTTGTAATACAATGTCTGACTGATATCATCTGATGTGGTCAAACGTTAAGTTTCATTCCAAAAGCAATTAATTAGTAGATTATGCATGATACTACAGCTGTAATAAAATTGATAATTTAATATTTAAAAGTTGAAAAAAATTTTCAAGGTTAGCGTGTTAGTGTTTTAACTTTAATTAAACATTAAATTAACTTTTCTTATAGTTATAGCATCATTTGTATATAGTTTTATAGCGACATTAAACTTAACGTTTGTCCTGATGTGTCCTAATCAATAGGACCTAATGATTGATCTCTGTAATGAAAGCATAGGTCAGAGTCTGTTAGCAGTGGATATTTTAATTTATACTTTATATTAATATGCATTTTACAAATTTGAAACTTTTTTGTAGGTTTCTATGGCACGTGCTTCATCGGTCTCAAGATATAATGATCCTGCTAGCAACAGGCATTCCGGTTGGTTGGATTCATGCAGTTGAAGATTGTTCAATAATTTCAATTCGATAGAATGATTTGATTGTTTTTTTTTTTATTGTAAAGAACACTGTTTAAATATATTTTACTCTGTAATTTATAAAATAATTGTGTGGAGTAGCATTAATCATCATCTTTCCTCACCCAATATGTTAGGAATGTCCTCCAAACTTCCCTCAATGCAGCAGAACATGGGCTCCAGTAAGAAAGCCAGCTTTGCTCCTGGAAGTGCGTGCTCCAGTGCAAAGTGGGATGATGTTTCATGTTGTTGTTGTTGTTGCTGCTGCTGTTGCTGTTGTTGTTATTGTTGTTGTTGTTAGTGATGGGGACCATAATAGATGACTTGATTCTTTGGCTTCTAAGTACCAAGTTATGTTTCATGTTTGGCTAATGTTTCAATCATTAGCACACATATACTCCTGTTGCTACTGTTCTTATATTGTTTTTGTTTTTCATACTAAAGGCAAGTATTTTTGATGTCTAGGTATGTCTATGTATAAGTCTAAGTATCCATTGAAGATGTTATTAATTGTAGGCTTTTTTTATATGCAAGGCAGAAGATTTGTAATGCTATCATCAAGGATGTTACTCTTACACATATTAGTTCATGAATTTTGATAAAAAGTTTGAATTTTTTAATAGCTTTTAAAATGAAAGAAACATTGCTTGGGCTATATAAAGTTATGATGGTGAAAATGTTTATTTGGTATTTCGCGTTAGTACAGATTATAATATTCGTTCAGTATTAAATGAAGTAATAAATTGTGATCCTGATAATGATGATGGTGATGATGACGATGGTGATGATGGTGATGATGATGATGATGACAAATCAAGGAGTGGCAACAATCAGATGAAGGATGGGCTGAAGGATCCCAGACCTGTCACCGACAAAACATTCAAGGATATGTGTCTCAGCAATCTATTCAGTGTAATTATGTTAATTATTCACTGTGATTACGTTAATTACTGTGTGTGATTATGCTAATTATGCAGTGTAGCCACCCTCATTATCATCTTTATGATTACGTTCATTTTGTTATAAAATTGTAAAAAAAATTACTAACAACAATGACGACAGTAATGCTGGTGGTGGTGATGATGATGGTGGTGGTGATGGTGATGATGATGATGGTATAATAATTTTTGTTATTATTTTTATCCTTGTTTTTATCATCATTTTATTGTTGAGTTAATGCTATTTTTATTGTTGTTATTATTATTATTAAAATTTTCCTTATCATCACCATAATAATTATAATCATAATAAAACAACGTCGTTGCCATCATCTGCAGTTCCTCTTGTCCAAAAACTACCCCCACATGGTCAGCTCAAAAGGCCTTCAGAGCCCCTGGCAACTCTATTTCAAAAGGAATGTTTGAGGTGGGTTCATGTGAATTATGAAAGAACATGACTCGTGGTGATATATCCTGCTCATGCACATGTGAATTATGAATGAATGTGATTCGTACTTGTTTGACTGAATTTAAAGCAAAAACATTGTTCTCTATCAAATGAAATGTGTGCATGATGCGTGGTTTCACAGCATGCACTGTACATGCTTGTTGTTGAGAGAATTAATAAATGGAAATAGCATTAATTATTTAATAATGTTGATGTCATCATCCTAACAGTTTCTGCTGCAGTTCATGGCATTTCCTGAAAATTACAGACTGGAAGGGAAACTGGAGGACTCTTTCCCTGAGCTGATGAACCTCCTGAAATATCCAATTGTCATCCATAAAAGGTTGTTGTCAACAAGCGACTCTTCCAGCTGCTTCAACATATAATCTGTTATTTTCTTTCTTTTACAAACGTTCTTTCCAGTAGTTTAGTTCAATGTCTTTCTTACTGCTTCTATCACCTTAAATCTTTTCTAATGGTAAGGCATGCATTAAGAACATACAACTTACAACAAACATACAACATTCCACAAACATGCAACATCTCTCAGACACGCCTCCTCCTACAAAAATATGCTGCACCCACAAACAGGTACCTGCAAACAGTGGGTGTGCCCCATCAGTGGCCCTACCTTCTTGCTTCTCTGGATTACATCAAGAATCTAATAGAGGTAGATGATGTAGGGATGGGTTTTTGTTTGCTTGACTATTTTTTTTTGTATCAACCGTTTATCTTTGTGAATAATATCATCATTTGATTGAGATTTTGTTGTTTATTGCTTAATTTTTTGTTGCCTATGACAAAAAGTCTTACAATAATAACCGAAATAATAAAAGATAAAATCTTATCTGCTTTTTGAACCATGATCTCCAATGGATGGATGAATGATGATTAATTAGTAATTGTTTGCTGAACTGTTGTCTCTGAGCTATTCCTCAAGTATCTATCTATTTATCTATCTATCTGTCTGTCTATCTATCAGTTTTTCTGTCTATCTATCTATCTATTTGTCTGTCTGTCTGTCTATCTATCTGTCTCTCTATCTATCTATCTATTTGGAGTAGGTGGTTTTCAACTTAAAGTTGGTTGGGTCCAAGAAAAATTGGATCAACATTTTGAAATAAATATTTTGTTGAAGTTTCAAAAAAGAATGAAAATTGATGACTTCATTGTGAGATAAAAAATTAATTTGTTAAACAGAATGTGTCCGATCCATATGAGGATATATTGGATTGGATCAGCGTTGAGAACAGGGTGTGTTACATGTCTTCAACTGCCAGAACCATTTTTATTGTTGTCGTTTTTGTTGCTGTTGTTGTTGTTTTAAAGTTTTTCAGTTACTAGTTTGTTATTGATTTTAGATATTATTACAAGATTTTGATGAAGATAAGAAGTTGTTTGATTTAAATTTTAAATTTATTCATTATAAATATACTTGAGAAATAGTTCAGTGCCACAGAACTTGATTAATGACTGCATGTGGTGAAGTAAATGTTTACAATTTGGCCCTAAGTGCTGCCTGATGAATTGTTAAACAGACGTTGTTTCATATTGAGATTGCAATAAATCATACATAAAAAACTTGAAACTGATGCTGACAATAGTTTAAACACCTGATGGGATTCTTCTTCCAGGAGTTTGTCAAGTTCACAGATAAGACGTACACGGTTTTCCTTCAAACCGGCGAGGAGGAGTTTGTGGAAGAGACTGACATCCTCATGCAAAACATAGGTCACCATGATTTGAATGATTCGAATTAAATTTATTTAACGTGTTACTGCACGCTGCACATCGTGTTTATGTAATTTATACTTTATGTTTAATGTGGATAAATTTATGGGCATATTTGATCATCTCAACTATTGAAATCTGATCAACCGGCTACAAACATCATTCTGTTATGCTAGCAATTGTAAAATCTCACCACACCTACCAACTTCTTCATTTTACTTGTTTGGAATTTTTTTCATTTTTATGATTATTTGTTTTCTTTTTGTATATTTTTGTATAAATTTTGTTGTTTTTGTGTCTTGGGTGACTGTACGTACAAGCTCACTGGTCTTCTCTTTCTACCTGCCCTAGGCTGAAATAAAAAATTGAGGTCATTGAGATGTTCTTCTAAACCAAACAATGATTTATTTAAAAAAAAACTCTCCACCATTAGTTCAACACCCCAATCTGAAAGAAGAGAATGAAAAGTTGTTTGAATACTCTAAAAAACTAGAGGAAGAAGTTGAGGCAGCAAAAAAGAAATTGGTCAGTTATGGTGGTTTCTTTTGCATGTGTCTTGCCTATTTTATTGTCTACTGTTAACTTTATTTTATGTTTAGCATTTGTTTAGTTGTTCATTTGTCATTTTTATCTAGCCAGGACAATTCATTTATCTACTAGGCCTCTGTTATAATAATAACAACAATCATGGTAATATGTAATTTATGCAGCGTCGCATGGATAGTGTCTTTTGAACGTTTTAATTTTGATGAAAAATATCGTAGCTTGAAAGAAGAGAAGAAAAGGTGACTCAAGATAAAGAATTGAAACAATATGAGAAGCAGCTGGCATCTTTGAAACAACTAAACAAAACTGGACAAGAACGCAAGATCAGCATGGAAAACTGTATCAGAGATCAAGAGATGAAGATTGATGCTTACGGTTGGTTGGTTGGTTGGACGGTTGGACGGTTGGTCGGTCGGTCGGTCGGTCGGTTGGTCGGTCGGTTGGTCGGTCGGTCGGTCAGTCGGCTGGTTGGTTGGTTGATTGGTCTGTCAGTCAGTTGGTTGATCTAATTAATTAGATGGTTAATTCGATTGGCTTGTATGAAAGTATATTTAAAACTTGAGAATTCATTCAATTTATTTCGCTTGAAGAGAGCAAAACTCGGCGTAAATGATTCAATTATTAATTTTCAACATTACGAAACATTTAAAACGAGCAGACAAGCAAATTGATGAGTTGCAGAAACTCGTTCAGTTGCGGGAACAAGAACTGGAGAGGCAGGAGCAACTTGGATTCAACGTCAACCAACTTGATGCCGAGCGCAAAACTATCTTGACCAAATATGAGACCATGGAAGGTTCATATGCGGTTTTTTATTTTTATTCGTTATATGTATGTAGTATATACTATATAGTGTGTGTCTAGGCATTTTTGCAGTATTTTTTCACTAACTCAAAATAAATGAATTATTATTGCTATAAAATTGCATCACCTATGCTTATCTTCTGAATGAGTGGTCATCTGACTGGGTGGTCATCTAAGTAGCTTTCCATACTATGCAACGTAGTTTCTGCAATTTTAATTATTTCATATAAATTATATTCCATGATAATTGTTCTGTCTAGAATGCACTAAGTAAAGATTGTTGTCACTGCATGTTGTCGTCATCGTCTTTTTTTATGTAAATTTGTAGGAAGGAGAAAAGAACTGGAAGAGGAAACCTTGAAACTGAGTGAGATGAGGAAAGAAAAGAAAGATGAGGTTATTAAAACATCTTTTGAAACATGCTTGCGTACTTTGCATTCTTACATATATAAATTACTTCACTATAATACACACATATGTTATTACATGCATTCAAACATACATACTTAAGTACATATGCACCCGCTTCGGAATGACCACTTGAAACAGATCCTGAAAAAGGTCTCAATGCTTGAGAAGTGCATCAGGGAGTGTTTCATCATGACGAAAGAGGAGGAGGATGTCATGTTTGCTCTGAAGTTCGACATCAATGATGGTGAATCATTCGACTGCGATGTCATCACATTGAAGGTCGGTCATGTTTTTTTTTCTTTTTTTTCTTTCTTGGTGTGTGTTAACCGTTGGAATAGATTTCAATCACTCGTGGTTGATGGTATCCGGAATTAAATTGTATTCTGTCATCGTTATTGAGGCGAATGTGATGAACCAGATGATGTTTGAGTCCGCATAGCTTTTAATCATTTTAAATTTTATAGTAGATCTGTACTTCTATGATTATTATTGTGCTATAATTTTTAATATTATTATTGCAATTTTTCAAATTTGTCTCCACCTAGAACTTAGTGTACAAACAAATCAAACCTCGAGTAGAGAGAGAGTTGATGGAAGACCAGGCTACCCTCAACAATGATCGCCTTCGTGATCTCACTCAGAAGCTACAGGTCATTAAAAATGAAATTATCTCCATTGACGAGTTGACTCGCAAGGTTGAAGAAGATATGCTGAGGAAAAAAGAGGTGAGCTGATTAATTTTTTTTTTGCAAACCGGTTGATAGGATGCTACAAAGATAATTATACTTCATACCTGTCAGTTGCTTAAGCAAGTGCTTTGATAAAATATATCAAACAATGATATCTGTTAGTGGGGCAACGATTTTATTAAATAAAAATATCTTAGCGTTGTTCTTAATTTAATGTATTTGGGTTAAAATATACATTTCATTGTGGTTGATTTTGGTACAGGAACACGAGGTGTATGTGTCACATAGAATCAATCAGCTCAAGAACTTAGAGGGTGAGTTAGAGATGATGAAGAAGAAGGAAGAAAGCATGATTGCGAGATGTGAAGAGGCTGAGAGGAAGTTAGACACTTTGTAAAATTTTTGCAAACCTCTGATGTCTAATTTTTTAAAAATCATTTTTGAGTTTTTTCTCCATGATTCGTCATTATTTAACAGCATACATCCACGGCCAGGGTTACGAAAAAAAATTCACCGCTTTTATGTCCTGGCCATTTGATTTGCTGCTCCTAATCTTATCGTCGTTGTCTAGGTCTAACATTCAGCATGTTCAAAAATATAAATGTAATTTCCAAGTGTTATTTGCATATGCATGTGTAAATAAGGAACTCTTGATATTACTATAGTGCAGCAAACCTCAGATAGAAAATTAAATTTATAGAGTCTTATTCATTGTAATGACATGCGACCAGCACAATTTCACTTGAGTAGTTTTTTTTTATGTTGGCTGTCGATCGTTTGATTAATGATTATTTTAAAATTTGAAACAGTTTGAAAGAATTGGAAGAGAAGAAGATGAAAGACAGAGAAGAACACTTGAAGGATTTTGAAGAATGGGCAGTTGATTTTAAAAAGCAGAACATCAAGGCTTTGGTTTCTAACTTATTTTTATCTATGTTCTTAACCAGTTTTGTATGGCATACACGAAGGCATCTTAATTGTTTAAAGTTGCAATCGCATGTTGTGTTGTCGTGTGCGTGCAATGCAGTAATCAGTGGTTGAAACAAACATTTCGATCAAGTTGCAAGCATCTGATCGTTTCTTCTCACGTTTCAGTAAACGTCTGATGACATATTTTCCAGAGTGTCGTCCGGAATTATTCATTGCTGGAGATGCTTGCTGCAATTATTCATACAACCACCACTTGTGTCATCATTTGTAGTAATTTTTTGTCCTTCAACTTAGAAAATGCTGTCTTCGGCACAGGTTGTCAGTATTATGGCTATCTTAGAGCCATGCTCTAAACTGCTTTCTTTTTTTCCTCCAGTTAGACTTTCATTCGCACCATATTTCTGTTTTACGTCATAATTTTTATTTCCTGTTCTCATTGCCATAGTAAGACAGAACAACCACTGTAGAATTTTTATGCATTTGTTATATCTCTACAAAACTAACAAAGCCAACCAACTGATAAAAAAGGGCCTAGCTGAATATTCTAAATAATTAAATAATTGTGTTGTTTTAACTTTACTATATTGATAATAAAAATTATTATTTAAATCATCCTAGGAAACTTTTAATCAGTTCAAGAAATACACAAAGAAACAAACTCGTAATATTGAAAAATTTCTCTCACAAGTTGCTGGTCTCGATGGCGACAGTCAGATGGGATGACTACTTTTTAATCCTGTGACTTTATTTTCAACGAAAACTTGTACATGATTGATTTTTATTACCAGTTAAACTCAGCATTACAATTATTCTTTGTTTCCAATTTATTTTAACATTTTTTTTGCTTTAAATTTGTACAATTGTGTGTGCGTGTGTAAGTAAAATAACGTTTAAAAACGGTAAACTGTATCATTATTCATTTAAATGTCATTCTCTACATGATATCAAGATATATTTTTTTCACATGTTAAATTAAATTATTGTGGGTAATTCAATGCGCGCTACTTCCAGTCATCCGATCATGGGGTCGCCGAATATATGGGTGTCACAAAATTTCATAGTTCGTAGACATTTATCAAAAAAAAGGCTAAAGGTCTATTACACTCTTCTAGGCTCGAAGAAATTAACAACCTACATTCATAGAATAAATACTGAACGACACATTACACGAGAAGCATGTCTTTTTGTCATATTCGAACCCGGATACTGCACGCACAGCAAAACTGCACCAGACGACTTTAAAAACTAGGCCATCTCGCCACCGTTAAATTTAAACAAATTAACGTTGACTTGGAAGATAAAAGAGTGCAAATTGTACATATCTGGAAGTATCAGTCAACTGCCAGAACATTACATCACCAATGAAAAGGCATCTGCGACAAAATTGCTGCTTTTGCTTCCAATAAAGTTTGTGGACAATTATTAAAATATGGTAAGATTAGGATGTACAGTGGATAAGTGGGATAGTCATATTATACTTTGAAGTTATGGAAGCAACCTGCAAGAGTTTTGAGAGGCGGGAAAACTGGAAATCGATCTTTGAGTTCTAATCACATGCTTACTCATAAATTATATTTATTGTATTCTAAATAATTTACTTATATACGATTGAGCCGATGATAACCGTCAAAACTGTCAAAAATAATCCTAAAAATTTGCTACCAAGATTTGGTGCAAGATTTACAGATTTCAAAGTGAGTTTCGAACTTTCTATTGTTAAGTTGTTTAAAATTTATATCTATATTTTTTGATAAGTTTGATCAAAGTTGTTCTTCAGATATGCAATCGAAAATTGGAAATATTCTGAATCATATGATTATTAATCATTCAAAGCAATTCAACATTGATAATTGATTATTAATTGCATAATTTAAATGAGCTATTAACATTAAATTTTTAGTTATTCTTACGACTCATTCAACTAAATGTTTAAAAATTATTCAAAGGAGTGGATTTTTTGATAAAAATGCCAACGAATGTTTATTATTAATTTTTGAAGACATTAATATTCTTATAAAAAAAATATTTATGAGCCCAAGAGGAAGGCAGAAGAATGCAGTCTTCCAATTGGACGATGCGTTTGAATGTGGAAATATTATTTCTTCTTCGTGTTATCTATCTGTGATCTTTTCAAAGAACTGATATGACTTTCGCCATTTTATGATTATTTTATTTTATTTTTTAAATATGATCATTAAACTCGAATCACATTACTTAAATTTTGTTAAATGTTTCTTTGATGTTCGGATGTAATTTTATAAACTTGAAACCGTTGATAGATATCTATTTATTGATTGAAGATCAAAATGTTAAATGGTAAATTAGTGAAACATGGCTGAAAACCAAAACGGGTGCAGTCTCGAGGATTGTCATACGAATCTTTTTGCTCTAGTTAGTTTCGTTATTTTTTTTAAATTTATTTTCAATTTACTGACTTCAATTTTTTGACCGTTTTTTGATCAGTGTGAAAAGGCGTCGTTTACAAATCATGTTTTCTATTTTCCTAATTGTTGGAATGTTTTTTTTTGTGGTTTTAAAAAAGATAAGATGCAAGACTAAAAACTCAGTAATTTAAGTTTTTTATTATTCATTAATATCAGTCTGTTCTTCGGATAAATTCAAGATTTTATGAGCTATTAACTATTAATATTTTAGACATTAAAATTTAATTTTTATTTCAATTGCTAAAATAATAAATAAACATGTATAATGATTGAAACATTTTTAGGCTGATTTATCAGGGATAAAATGGCGAAGACTAAATGCTCAATCAGATACTTCATACACAGCAGACCCACTAGATGATCCCGTGCTAGTTTCATATTCAAAATGTGTACAAGCAGATCTTTTATGTGTTTGGAGACGACAACCAAAAAATGCCAACAACAGCCATCATAGTAGTAGTTCTGGGCCTGGTTTGGGTGGAAGCAACAGAAGTCCAATGAATGGAGCCAATAGTATGGCTTGCCCAAAGGAGCTATGGTTGTTTTGGTATGGAGATGAGCCCTCTTCTCTACAATCGTTCATTTCATCAGATTTGTTTGGTAAGTAATTACATTTTACTTTAGTGGCTAATCACCCAATAATGTTTTCCGCTATGTTAAGATAAATGAATATTATTTATTTCTGTTTTTATTAATAATTTTATTAGTTTTCGCTTTAGCTAATCCTTTTGGTCATGTATTTAATTATTGAAATTGTTTTTTACATCAAGTTAATTATAAGAGGTATTAAAATAGTAGTTTCATTTTTAACAATTGAATTAACAACGTTTTAAGATTGAACCAAGCTGTATTCAACAAATCTTGTTAAATTCGACCTAATCATAATAATCTGATTTCTGTTGTTTTCAATAACATCATTATCAAATAAAATACTAATCTCTTTGTAATATTTTAATAAAAAATTGTTTCATAAATGTTTTTTAATTGATGTGTGTGAGTAATTTACTTTGAAAAACTCTTGTCTTAATATAACTTTCTGCCATGTTCGGATACATACGAGTGAAATGGTTATTTGTAAATTTTATTCAATTTTTATATAATTATTTGTGAATACAACCATTATTCTGTGAAATATTAACTTTTGTAAAAATATTTTGATGAGCAGAAGTTGAATCGGGTAGCTGGGAGAGTGGGCCACTATCTTACGAATGTAGGACACTTCTCTTCAAAGCTTTCCACAACCTCATTGAAAGGTTAGTTTTTGTCTAACATAAAAGTGTATGTGTTTTGTATGTGTGTGTGAAAATAGCAAATAGGGCAAACAGTAAAAAAGTTATTAAATAATTTATTCAGTCATTAGTTAGTATTATAATATAATAATTCTCTTATTATGAATTACAATTTTTTAGGGTTTACTCTCTATAGATTTTTTGTACTTATAGATATAAGACAACTAAATTGTTAGTGACTTCAGTTGTGATTAAAATTGATAGAATCCAGTTAGTCAAATTTTCATTAATATTTAGCCAAGATAAATTATGTAAAACAGGTTTCTACCTGAATAGAGCTAATCTTGAAATTGGAATTGTTTTTTGTTCTTTGTTATATGGCTTGGAAATGTGTGTGTTGTTAGTAAAAACTTTGTGCTACAAAAGATGTAACATCCACATCTCACAACACGCATGCATATTTTATATGTATGCACAAACTCCACATTACATGCACTTGGCGTATAATAAATAGTCTTTGATTTTGGAACAGACAGTGTCAGGTCATCGTGTAATAATGACACGACGAGACATGACACTTCTACCTACTGAGCTAACTTGCTGGTTGATCTGAAGTGGAAGAAGGCTAACTAGAAAATGATTGATTGCTTTTGTTCAGTTTTTGCTGTAATTTCATATCTAAGGTTATAGGTTTTAAATAATCATGAATGATAGAGTGATGCATTAATTCACCTCACCAATGAACTGAATCCAGATCTCTAACAGCCAAGTTATTTGTTATATCCTACTAAGAGTAGCAATCATTTTAAGGAGCCAACATGGCACTTGTGCTCTGATGTTGAATGTATCAATAAAGCTTTGAACGTTTGTATAACACATAGTAATGTGTTATACAAACAAGAAATGAATGATAAATAATAACCTTGTGATATGTTACACCTTGCTATTATTGGTCATGAGTTTATTGCTTCTGATGAAATTATTAATAAAGAGTTTCTAGTATTTAGCAGCTCAGTTTCATCATGTTGTATATTGTCACATTCATACAACCCTTCATTATAATTGCTTTTCATTTGTCATAGATCATTTTTAATTGCTGCTCAGAATTTTTTTCAGGTTTTTCATCAATCTTGTTATTGCTTTATTAGTACTCTATCACTATTGACACTTATAAAAAATAAATATAAACGTTATTATTATTATTATTATTATTATTATATGACAAATTGTATTCACCATTTTGTCATTGTAACATGATGATGATGATGATAATTCATGTTAATCAATTTACTGGTGAAATGTTTGTTGAGTGGGCTAGCAATAAAGCAACTATCAAACAATTTTTTTTATAAATGTATGTATGTATGCATCCATGTATGTATGTATGTATGGATGCATGTATGGATGTATGTATTTGTGTGTGTGTCAGTATGTGTGTGTGTGTGTTTTGGTTATTTTAATTATTTGTTGCAGATTATTATGTCTATGATATTTGATTATTTATGTTTATTAATATGCTTGTAATGCATGTAGATATAACATAGAGATGTTTTATCAACCTGGCAACACTTATCCATATACATACTGCAATAGTTTAGAAATCCATTCACATTCACATGATATTCGCCGTTGTTTCTTCTGAATTTGTATGTTCTTCAAACCATTTCACTTATGCCTCCTACCAATATCATTATCTTAATTGTATTAATTATTTTTCACAAATGATAGTGAGCGTTCTTTTTTTTGTTTCTGATTTGCATTTATAGTAATAAATAATTTTTTAAATAATAATAAATAATTTTTAATTGTTTTCACCAATCAGGTGTTTGTTGGCCCAGAATTTTGCAAGGGTGGGCAAATGGTTTGTCCAACCATATAACAACACTGACCAATTAAATAAAGATAGGTTTGTTGTTTGGTTAATTTTAAATTGTGTTATGATCAGCTGAGTGTTCATTTGTTCGACATTTGCATTGCTCCATCATTCACCGTCTCATTCATATTTTTTTTGCTTCAAAGTTGGGTTTACTTTGGTGAATGACATTGCTAAAGAAACAATTATTTTCTAGTATATAATTTTTTGTTAATAATACCTCATTGACATGAATGATCATGTCATGATGATGGTAATCGGTAAGACATCAGTCACTTCAACAAACAAACAAACAACGAAACAGCGCACACTTATCCATGAGTTTCAACTTCTTTCTGCATGGAGACAGCACTGTATGTGTGAGTGTCGATGTCAGGCGTCATGAAGCTCTGTTCTCTCTCACTCACACTGTCCTCTCTGCCGCTCAACATATCACAGTTGGTGTACCAGGCTAGTTTAGTTTCTATTTAGATATTTTATTTGCCTAAGATTTTTTAAAATCTGATTTTTATTTTTAGTTTTTATGGTTGGTGTCTTGTTGAAATAATTATGGTTTTTTTCATTTTTGGTATATCACTATGTTATATCTTTATATCTTTTTATGTTTTGCTATATCACTATGTTATCATTTCTTTCAAACAGTTTTGCTGGCTCCATATGGGTTGTCAGGAACTTTAACAGGGAAGATTTACTCGGACAGTGAGGCGAGGTCTATGCAGATGATGGAGGATTGGAAAAAGTATGTCATGGTGTTTATTATGGAAATGTGTGTCGATGAATGTGAAGGGGATGAGGGCTCTCAATTTTTTTATTGCAAATATGAAAGTTAAATGTTTTTTTGATTGGGGTTCTTTTAGCTATTTTGCTGCTACTGCCATTATGATTACAAATCTCTTTTGTTACCCCACCCCACTACCAGATTCTATTATATGAACAACAGCAGCAGTAGTAGTAGTAACAGTGTTGTCACTAACATTAAAACTGAGGATGGTAGCAGCAGCAACAACAACGACCAAGTTACTGCAGTGACATCTTCCACGACATCAACAACAGACCACCATGACAACAACAACATGCCAAATGTTGTTGAAGTCATCATTGGTGAATTTTTTTTTTATAAACGTTATACATATTTAATGCTCTGATTTTGTTATGTCAAAAAATGATGTTTGTTAGCTTGAAATAAATTGTTAAATTTATTGAATTAAAGTTACTTTCATTAACATGAATTGTTCATATGCATTGTCACTGCTTTTATTTGAGATATATTGCCTATATAATTTTTTATTGCATTAAAATTATTTCCTGTCTGCTTGTTTGTTGATCAGCTGGTGTGAGGTTAAGATACCCGAGCAACTTTGTGCTGATGACCAGTGACGTTAATGCCGCTGTGCTAAAAAGAATGTCAACAGTATCATCCTCATCCGCTAATACTAGCAACGTCAGCAACAACAACGTTGGTGCCAACAATTTTTGCAACAACCTTGCAACTGGCGCACTGCAGCAGCAGCAACAAGTTGATTCTAAAAGGTCATTGTTGTTGCAGTGGAACTATTCTGCAAAGGTCATCGAGAAGTCATGGAGGGATTTGGTCGTGGCCAATGGTCAAGTAGCTCACGGGTTTGTTTTGTTGATACTTATTGTTGTTGTTGTTCTTAAAATGTTATCTTGCTATTTATCTTGTTTATTTTTGTAATCTGCAAGTTTTTTCTATAATATTGTTTCAAGTGCATTTTTTGTATGTATTTTTACAGAGATTTTGAGATAACATTTTTTGTATTTATGTGTTGCTTTTATCTTATATTCTAGTTATTTTTTTTTTACACACTCTTATACAGTCATCATCACCATCACTAATTCAATAACATTGTCATCACCTATGCAGTCAATCACAGGGCTCAGAAGATCATGCTCTATATAACGCAACCAATAATATTGTTTGGAACTTCGGTGATGTAACACAAAGGTCCAATTGTCACTGTCCAAAGTTAGTACCATTCACAGTAATAACGATGTTGATGATGATTGTTGTGGCGGTACTGATCATATACAGATCATAGTGGTATTTATTGTTGATGATGGTGGTGTGGGCAGTGGTAAAGGGAGTAGGTCATCAATTTGGTTTGTTTCATCATCACTTTTATATTTTATTTTACAACTAAGTTGTTAATCAAACATCCTCTACCAGATCAAGGACACAAAAACCAGCACTCTCATCTTCAAAACTGTCACAACCACCCTCTACTTCACTTATGTCGTCAGCTCCGTCATCCCTAACTTCTCTCAACAAAAGTTCGTTGGGGGGTTTTGGGGGTGGCAGCCTGTCATCATGGAAACAACAGCAACAAGCAAGCAACAATAATAACAATAGTAATAATAATTATAATAGTAAAGCAGAAGGTAGAGTGCGAGCACACAAGGCTTGCACTCCCTATCATAAGAGGCATGCTAATTTCACTCACAAGTTGTTATCATCAACATCTTCGTCGTTATTGACATCATCATCATTGTCACTGACGACATCTACTGCATCATCAACCATATCATTATTATCACAAGCAACCTTGTCGCAACAACTGATGTCCAGTCTGGAGGCCAACAGTTTCACACTGCCGATGAACTTTGGCTGGAAGAATGCATCGTCATCATCATCAATGCCAGCATCATTATTAACGTCAACGTCTACGGCATTTGGTGGCAGTAATCGAGGGGGCATCGTCAATGTTCATAATGGTTCTGTCATGCCTGGTGTTGATCAACAAAATAATAATAATAGTCAGATTCTACCTGGTTAGTAGTTATTTATTACTTTATCTTTCATTTATTGGTTATTTTTTATTTGATTTGACATAATTTATTTTATTTAACAAACCAATCAGCAGTTACCCAACTTTCGTCCTCATCAGCAACATCATCAGCAACGGCCACCAACGTGAACAGCATGGCATCAAAAAGTCTTCTCCACCAAATCACCTCTGGTCTTGACTCCTCTCCTCATTCTGCTGCTCCATCTCCACTCATGGTCACCCCGAATGCTCAGGGTTCAACTGTCAATCAAAATGGCAGTGACCCCACCATGCCTACCCTCAGTCCTCAGCCACCTACCAAAAGTGGTGGATCCGTGGAAGTGGGTGGTAGGAGTATTTTAAATAGCGGCAGGAGCATCACAACTGGTAAGGATGGCCACATAGGTAGTGTTGCTGATGGTGCAGTAAGTGATGGCGTTCATAATGGTAACAACGACAGTAACAATGGCATTAATGTTGCTGGCAATGTGAACTATAAAAAGACAGTTGGTGGCAGCAGCTCTGGAGGTTTGGGTAGCACTACTGCAAGCAATGGTAGTGCCTTGGCCACCTCAATCTTGTACACTTGTAGTGTAGATGACTACAAATCAAAGTATGAGTCACTTGCTGACTCATCAGTTAAAAGTGAACTTTTGTCAAGAGTCAGGCCAGCTGATGTCGGCAAAACATGGATAAAACAACAAAATAGGAAGAGGTCTAGATCTATTTCTCAACAGAATATAGTGGGCACTGTGCCAAAGAAACCGATGCTAATGTGCCAGTTCCCGGGAGAGGATGATGAAGAAATGAAAATACCATCCTTGATTGTACAACCAAATTTTAAACTGTTAGTCAAAAAATGTTTTCATATGTGTCAGTTTTATCATGTTTTATTCTTTCCATGGTAGCTCAGTAATTTTGTTTTGTTATAACAACTTTGTTTTATTTGTTTTTTCATTGCTCATCCATTCATTCAATTTATAATATGATCAACCAAATTATGCAAAAAAATGTAATTATTAAAATTCAGCTAAGTTAATGTTATTAAATAAAAATTATCAGACCAAATCAGGGTTTCATATGTTCCGCCACCAATCCTTCAAATGTGTCTGACCAATCCTTTTGGACCGTGGTCGGTGAGGCATCGGGCAGAGAAGATTCACTTCATACCCAACATCGTCATTCAAACTTTTCACTTATTCCTGGAGGTAGTAACTCACCTTTTAGTGGTTACCAGGATGACAGATACAATAATAACAATAGAGATTCTGTACTACCAAAGATAAAAAAGGTTAATTATATTTGGTCTGTTTTATCTATTGGTAATTTTTGTTTCAAGTATATTTATGTGCGTGCGTGCGTGCGTGTGTTATCGAATCTAGAATATGAATACAATAACCAAATGTGAAAGTATATATTATTAATTTAGTTATCATTATTTAATTTATACATCCATTTCTTTTATTGATGGCTTCAACAACTATGATCATCAACAACAAACACAACACAGGAAGATAATCAAGGGTCAGATTTTTTTGGAGGCATGGATGACAGTAGGAATGCAATGGGTTAGTTTTCCCAATTAAACACAGATGCTTGATCTTCCCATAAATTTTTTGTATGGGTGAATTATTTTTCTGGATATTTTGAGCTTATTTAATTCATTTAAAATCCCTCAACTATTGAAAATAATCTCCTTCATCACATTCCCATTCAGATTACTCATCATCTCCAATCACTCTCTCCTCATCAAAGAATGACTTTGCTGCAACAACTGCACCTGGCCACAATCTACCACTTCAACAACAGCAACAACAGCAGCAGCAGACTCAGCAACAACATCAGTTAGGGCTTAGTTCTTCATTCACGCGACAGTCGACTAACGTGATGCCAATGTCTTCTATAGCCACCCTTATGAGGGAAAATGATTTGAAGCCAAACATTCAGGACCTGGATAAAATGTTTGACACAGATGAGGAAATTGAACCTGATTCGGTTGGTAATGATATTAATGGATGATTAGTTGATGCTAGTAGACTGTGATTATCATAATGATAGTATTAACAATTTTTAGAACTGTTGCAAAAATTATAATTTTGGCTTCATCTGGAATGCTTTTCATTGTAATTAATGATTTGTGTGATAACCACGGACATTATCACAATCAGCCAAATAGACCAGAGTCTATCAGAGATGAAAGCATGGCAACGGCGTTCAAATCCACATCTCTGTCAACCAATTTCACCCAAGGCAAGTTTTTATTTAATTTGATGACGTTTGCAACTTTCTTGTTTGTTTACTGCTATTGTAGGTACGTCACTATAATTGTCACGTTAGCAGATTAGCTTGAGGCTCAAGTTGAATGGAGCTGGCAAAAGTCCAGGCCAGGTTGATTCAACAAAACATGAAACTTGTTGTGCCTTATATATTTAACGTAAAACGTAAGCAACTGTACTAACAACTACTGTTATTATATTAATTGTGTCTCTCATTGGTAATAAAATGCAAGTTGCCTGGAAACGTTAGCCAACTCAATGTACACAAATGTAAACCATAAACATCTGGAAAAGTTGTTTGTTGATTGTATTAATTTATTTATTCAACCAAGCTATTCAAACACATGCATTCTCCAACCAAACTGCCTGCTACTGTATTTTTTATTGATCAGTTTTCAGGATTTAAAAAATGTTTTTTCGTATAACTTACTTCACCGTTTTCGCTTTTACTAACATCAAGCTTGCATGAGCATCTGCACATTTATAAATGTAGGTACTAAAGTATAATTTTGCTTACCTGGGTCACTATGCCGTAATGATATCCACCTGAAGCTGAATAAAGCTGGATTGTGAGCAGGACATTGAATATTTGGCTAAAATGTAAACCCAGTTTTTATGCCAGATTCTTTACTGCAATAAATACATTTTATAAAAGAACTAATTTTGTCATGATCATGCCAACAACACCTTGTGTGTGTCAGATGATATTTGGCGTAGCTAAAAACTGCTTGAGTCATCAATAAAAACTTTGAGGGACAAGAAAGACTAAAGGGTTAGGATGATGTAATAATGATAAGAGTGGTGATGATGATGAGATAAGAATGACATTGATGAGAAAGATGATATGACGACATGATAAGTTAGATGACTATGACAAACTACAGGCTTGACAGTAAAGGACTTGTCCCGCATGTTTCCCACTCCACCATCTGCTGACAATCCATGCAGTGAACCGTCACCAATGATGGGTTGGTTGTTGGGATGGTGTTGTATTTTGACATAAAAGTTGGGCGTGTTGGTGGTAACAATTTTGCAAGTTCGATTCAGAATGAATATATTGTAGACATCGTTGTCAATTAAACTGAATGTCGGGGGTTTAATGTTGTGTGTTTTTGTGTTTATAACCAAGAATATATGTATTTACAACACTAAATTATAAAAACAAGGTGCAAATGTTAAAATTTTTGGAATCTGACAATGGGCCTGAATCATATTCTATTCTTTTTGGTCGTCATGTCATTTCATTTCATTCACTTACTTTGATGACTTTAGTCTGATTTGATCTGGCGAAATATGAAAATAAAAAAATAATAAAAACAATAAAAAATCCAACCAGAAATAGACAGTCACCATGACTATGGCCAACAGCAGCAGCACTGCCAGCAACAGCAGCAACAACATTCTCAACAACAGCAACTACTACATCAACAACTTCTCTTGCAACATTCAACGAGTTCAGCTAGCTTCAGTCCACTGATCAATAGCAGCATGGCTAATGTTTCCCAGTCACTTATTAACTTGAGAAAAGTTGGTGAAGATTTTATTCAGTGTTTTGATAATTTGATGGGGGCGTGGTTATGTGGTGTTTTTGGGTACTTATATTATTTATTAGATGCTGTTGATGTTTATGAAAGTAATATTGATAAAGTTCTAAACATAATTAAAATTTATTATGCTGTAGTATTTTTTTATCATAATCGTCTACAGGAATGCTCCAGTTTGTACAAGATACCTCTCATAAGTCGGATACCAATGTCAGCTGACTACAACCCCATCCAACTACCCAACACTTTATCCATTCCCCTCAACGCTTCTAACCTCGTCTACAAGTCGTCAGCACCACAGCCGGCAGTGTCCTCATCGTCGTCGACATCACTGCAACCACCTTTTTCATCATTAATACCGTCATCATCATCTTTTGCTTACAGGCAACAGCAACAACAACATCAGCAGTTGCAGCATCAACAGCAGCAGCAAAGAATGAACATTGGTGGCATGACAGGTGTCATCGGTGGCAAAGTGGTTGGTGCCGGCTTCATGATTAATAATGGCAGGTTAGTTCTAATTGACTGTTAGAATGCGACGTTTCAAATTTTGTGCAGAGGATAAATAATAATAATAATAATTACAAATAATGGAAATAAATCCGCCAAGAAAGTTTAGCTGCTTCAATAACCTTGCCAGTTCTTAAGCTAATGAATGAATTCATTTTTGCTCATATAATTTCATTTCAACTGTTGAATGGGTGACATTCTGGCTAAATAAATCACGCTGCTGGTAACGGTAGCTGTTACTGGTACTGGTGGTGTAACCAGAGTAATCACTGTGTAACATTGACTAAATCTTGCAGTGGGTTTTGTTGTTTTCATATTGAGGTTAATTCGTGCCAGTGGCTGTATGATTGTTTTAGTTTTATGGTCTTCTTGACATGAGCACGGTGACATTATCATTGAACGTGATTATGCCATAATGCTCAGGTATTATTGCTTGAGTAGTTTCAATTTATCATTTTGATTACCATTGTTGCATTCATTTGGGTTTGTTTCAATTGATGCTTGTTAAAAAGAGAAAAATTGAAAGCCTAACGAACAAATCCCCACAGCAATAACATCCTCACACATGGCAGACAGGACTTCCCGTCACCTTTCTATAACAGCAACAATATCAACATTATGCAACAACAACAGCAACATCACCATCACCAACAACAACAAAATATTGTTGCTCTTATGAATCAGCAGCAGCAACAACAACAGCATCACCACCATCATCAGCAGCAACAAATGTTGCATCAACAACAACTGCAACAACAGCAGCAACAACAACAAAGGACACCTCTAAGTTATGACATGTTGTCTCCAGCATCTAATTCTTCCATTAACAGGAGACCTGCAGGCTCTGTGGACAGCAGAGTTGCCAGCAGTCTTGAGGTAACAATGACGATGATGATGATGGTTGTGTAATAATAATGATGATTGAGGAACTGCAAGTATATGATATTGATGTAACATTTACGAGAAGTATAATGATGATAATGATGACCATATGATGATGACAGTGATGAAGTTAATGAAATAAAATTGCTGAGATGTCCATACTTATTGTTGTTCAACTCTTGTTACTGTTACTTTTTATGATTGAAATTATTATTTTTTTGGCCATTGCTTATTGTCTGACAACTGATGTTATCACAAATTGTTTTTAAACTGTCCTGTCTGCAAAGCAGCCAATAAATAGCCTAATGGTCAACGTCATGATCTCCGACTCGGTTTTGAACCTCTTCAAGGACCACAACTTTGACAGTTGTACCCTCTGTGCCTGCAATCGTAACATCGACGGTAGCGACATTGGCATCTATGTCGCCCCGGCGTCAAGGGCTTCTGATTCAGGTTGGTTTGATCAGTTTGCTGATAGATTTGGGGATGGTTGTTTGGTTGATGGATCTAGTAGCTTGGTTGGTTTGGTTTATTAGTCGTAGTTTTTTTATTGATTGATTGATTTGTTGGTTAGTTGGTTTGTTTGGTTAGTTGGCTGACAGACTGGCTTGCTGGTTTAGCTGGTTGGCTAACTAGCTACATGGTTTGGCCAGTTGGTTGAAAAATTTGTTTGGTATGTTTGTTGGCCGATTATATTAGCTATTTTCTAATCGTATTAAATTGTCATATTATATTACATCATATAATAACTGTTATTCATGTTATCATCGTCGTCACCACAACAGGCGAGGACCAGTTCAGATGCACTTGTGCCTTCAGTGCTATCATCAATAGAAGGCATGTTATATCAATGTTTAGATGGATGGATGGATGAATTGGATTAAATAGATGTATAAAGAAATGATCTAACTGACATTGTAACGAATAAATGTTAAGTTGACAGATAGGTAAATAAATAGAAAGATAAGGTAGGTGGGTGTATCATAACAGTTAGCTGATGACTGAACCAAGGATTGATCCATTAACCATATTTGTGCATGCAATAATGAGACTATTTTCTCCTGCAGATATGGTTTGAAGTCAGGATTATTTTACGAGGATGAAGTCGAGATATCTGGCTACTATCACACTGGACTTGATAACATTCGCAAGCCGCCTCTTATAAAGAGACACAGCAGCAATAATAACAACAATAATATGAATAATAATAATAACAACAACAATAGTAATAATACTAATAATGTCAATAATAATAATAGTAATGTTGGCAATAGCGAAGAGAATGCGCTGTCAGATGACGGAATAACGGCCGATATCATCTCAATTATTAGGGAGCAATTCTCAACACAATTTCCCACTATGCCTATTCAAAACCTGTTCAAGTCCGAATATTCTAGGTTTATTTCTAGAAGCAACTGTGGTAGTGGTAGTAATAGTGGTAGTAATTGTGGTAGTAGCAGTGGTGGTTGTGGTGATGGAAAGAACAAAAGTGTTGTTGGTGGTGTCAGTGTAGAGGAGCCTGTCGACCTGGAGATGAAGGGTAAGTGTGATTTGATCAGTATATTGACACGTTGTCATTGTCATCTTGAGGGATTGATTGATTGATTGATTGATTGATTGATTGATTGATTGATTGATTTGATTGATTGATTGATTGATTGATTGATTGATTGATTGATTGATTGATTGATTGATTGATTGCATTTTGCCATTTTCATCTTCCTCGCGTTCATCATGCCATTGAATTGTTACCATGCTTTGAAAATTGCCACTTTAGTTAGGCAAGACTGTAGTAGATTAATATTGTCATTTTCAATATTACATTTATTGCTGCTACTTTTAATAAGTTAATCAGTTAATCCAATGACAAAATGATTAGGACAATAGGATGAGTGTTTATGGTGTATTAATCTTGAATGTTTATGGTTTATTAATCTTGAATGTTTATGGTGTATTAATTTTGAATTTTTATGTATTAATGTTGGATGAGTTGCGCTTGGGAAGAAATAGATTATTGTTTATTGCATGGGAGGAAATGGTCATATTTAGTGATATAATAGTAATAATTGTTTTTATTCTTATATTTATGATCAGATTGCAGCGATGCCTGCTTTTTAGCCCTTGAATACTGCAAGTTCTTGTCAATGGAGAACAACAACAACAGCAGTAGTAACAACAACAACAACAATGTTGGTGGGGGTTGTAATAGCCAGCTATCATCGTCGTCATCACTTCTTGTCGACCGGTCCAAAGTCTGCCTGCATGAATGGTCTTTCCGACATGGTTGGTGGTGGTGGTGATGATGGTGAGAGTGATGACGATGGTGGTGATGAGAATAAATACCTTGTTGCTGATGAAAGAAAGGATGGTATTGTTGACAATGTGACTTGTGGCATTAGAGTTCATAGTGGCTTCATTGTCTTTATTAGATTAGATTAAAAATTCACGTCAGATGATGATGACGTTGCTTGCTGTTGAGACTGTTGTGAAAATGATGATTAATGTGTTAAGTGTTAAGTGGTAATGATGATTGTTACCAAAAATAATTGTAATCCTGATCAATAATTATGACAACAATGATCGACAGAATTAGCGCCACTGCCGTCAAGTTCGCTTGAAGTCGTTCGACTTCTGAAGCAACTGCAACCACTGCTTCAAGACGCCATTCAAAAAAAGAGATCCACCAGGTGATGATGATGATGATGATGATAAGTTTATATGATGATGACTATGATGATGACTTTGTTAATTCTAATTACTATGATAATAAATGTGAGGATTGTTTAACACTGCAGACTCTGGGAATCTGTCTACACCATCTCCGGTCCGTTGACCTGGAAAGATTTCCACCTGTTGGCTGGAAGGGGTCAGTTACTTTTCATCATATAACCAAAACACTTGCATATATTGTGCAGGTGTAATGTAAGCATAATCTAATGTGATAACGTATTTGAGATGGGATGTAATTCATTCTAGAGAACTGTTGTGAGATGTTTTATAACTTGAGCTAAACTTCTGTCCATATATGTCAGATGGAGGTTTTGTAAACTAGTCAATAGTCATTATAAGGACTGCTATCATTGTTTCTATATGTTTTAGTATTTTTTATTGTAATTGCACACAGGGTCGAAAGAAACCAGCGAACCAAAGTCGATACCATATTTGATGGTGGGTTATGATAAGGAACTGCTGAACATTTCACCTCACTCCATCAAATATTGGGTAGGCAGTTTAGGCTTTCCATCATTTTATTTCATCTATTTGATTAATTGGTTTTATAGTCTAATAGACCAATTTAATGTTTCCAATCAAATATTTAATTAGTTTTTTTTTATTTTTCTATGAGTATTTTATACACTGTTTTTAGTTCTATGTTGCAACAAATGAATCATACATTGAAATTATATTAACTATTATTTATAAGGACAAATTGATGTTGGAGCCTTTGTGTGAACCTCGTGATGTTCTCTACCTGGTTGTCTCCCCGGAGAATGATGTTGTCATAGATCAGGTAGCTATTTTCTGCCTATTGACTTTTCAAATCTTCAACTTCATTTTGAATTTTTTAAACATTCAATGTTGTCACATTAAATTGAAATAAAAAATGAAAATAATTTTGTTTGAATGACCAGGTGTCCAACTTCTTTAACGACTTCAGCATCATGTACGAACAGTGTCGATTAGGTAAACACAGGGTACTTTATGACAAACTCAGAGATGGGATAATCAGGGTTGGCAGGAAAAATGAGGAACCACTGAGAGACGTGGTCATCGATGATTGGTACAACAATATCGGTAGGTTTTATCTGTTAGGTCACAGCTGGTTTTAATATATCCATCCTTTGCATGATGTTGCTTTAGTTTTTGTTTGCATTGTTGACTGAAACGCTATATTATCAGATGAAATGCTCGTAGTTTGTTAAAGTTTTGGTTTAATAATTTTGAAATTATTTCTCATTGATTCTTACAAAATAATTTTTTTTACAGAAAACACTCCCTTAACTGCTAAATTAAAGTTGTATGCAAAAATCTGTTACAAATTATTATGTTAGTACCATTTTTTTATTCCATCTCATCCTTTGTATCGATTGCTGTCTCTCTCACTTGCAATTCATTGTTCTTAAAGTCGATTTAATCTTGCAGTAAGCTTTTTAAATGTATCTATCAATTCTTGTTTCAGAGATAACTTAAATTGTAAAAAATAATTATTAATATATTATCAGTTATAATAAATATTTATTATAATTATGATTATTTCCCTCAGATAACATCATAGTGAAAAATCTGAATGAAAAGCGTCAGGTGTACAGGGACGCGGCAAAAATACACTCAGCCAGTGGCGGCTCACGATTCACCATCAGCAATCCAGACCAGCCACCATTCACACTCTACTCAACATCCACCTCGTCATCATCTTCACTGCCGAACGTGATGAACTTGCCACCGGTACCTCAGCACAGTTTCAGTCAGACAATCAGTAATCCCCTTGCAGGCATTAACAGTAACCCTAATAATAACAATAACAACAATAATAATAATGGTCCAGTTGATTCCTCGATGTCAGGAGTTTTTGGTGGAGAGAAGATGGGTCTGTGTTAATGCTTTGCACTACTTTTTAATTCAACTTCACCTTATAATTTATTGCGTCATTATGTTGAACCTGGAAATAATTTGAACACTTTTTCATGTTCTTACACCAACTTTGTCAAAATGTTCATCCACCCATTAAACAGATTTCTCCATGAATGCTGGTAGCAACAACTTGAACAGCATGTCGAACAATGACAATGATGGCACAAACAGCAGTCATCAGCTGCAGGATGGTAGTGGCGGTGGTGGCTATGGCAGCGACTTCCTACACAACAACAACCTGAGTCACGAAGTTGTTGTCGCTGGTCAGATGCCCTACGTTGTTGTCTACATTGTTGACTCGTTCAACTATACATCACCCTCAAACAATACCAACAATGGGAGTAATGATGATGATGATGATGGTAGTTTTTCAGCTCGCATGGTCATGATGAGTCTGCTGAGAGGCTTCAACAACATGGTCAAGATGATGCCAGAAAAATTACAGCCTTACGTTAAGCTTCAGGTTCCTGCATTTTCTCTTTGTTTATGCAAATTGTTGCCATTGTTTTCAGTACTTTTGTTGGTCTTAATATACCTTCCTTTCATAAATTCTTTTAAAAATTTCTCCCTCATATATAACATAGCAATAAATTTCTTCATGATCAGATTGTACCTCAGGACATGATCATGGATTCGTGTCAGCGACAAACGACCAGCTACATGAAGAACCTCTGCTTTTCAGTGTACACTTCCTGCAGACGACAACTCAGCCACCACAACATGGAGAAGTCGCTCACTGGTTTTGGACCAACATCTTCTGCCAACAAAATCATCAAAAAACTGAATTCTACCTACCAACAACTGCAGCATCAAGGCGTCATTAGTAATAATGGTGCAGGAGCAGGCGGGGCTGGAACTAATGGCGGACCTGGCAGTGGTTCCCTGCTCGGTAACGTTTCTGCCAACAGCGTTGTTTCATTCGGTAATAACAACGGTTTGATAACATCTGCAGGCAACGTTATAATAATTAATTCAACGATTGCTTCGACTCTTCTGTACAGTCCACCGTTCATACTGGCCCCACCACTATTTCAGTCTACATCCATTCTTTCGCCTGAAAATTATAAGGAGCCTTTAGAAAAATGTGGTGTGCTCTTGTGTGCTTATTGCCTGAGTGAAGACCAGCGTTTCCTGCTGGCTTCACTGGTTGATTCAACCGGTGAACTGTTGGAAACGACGTGCATCAATATCGATATAGGCGATAGGAAGGTGAGACGCAGGGCAACTGTCAGGAGGTTTGCATTCCATAAGTTGTGGGAGTTCATACTGGGCACTGTGGCTTGTACTGCTCGCCCCTGGAGGCTGGTGGTCGGTAGGTTTGGAAGACTTGGGCATGGAGAACTCAAAGGTTTGCTTATGTTTGCCTTATCTTTTATTTGTTTCAGTTTGTTCATTGTTTCAGTTCTTTTGTGTAACTTATTGGTTTTGATTATTTTATTTTCCAGCATTATTTCGTTAACAAAATAGAAACAAATTTGTTCAGGTTGGTCGATGATCCTTAGTAAACGAAACCTCCAGTCCAGCTGCTTGATGCTGCGTCGCATCTGCCAGACTTGTAACATACCATCTGCAAATCAGTGTCCAAGCATTCTGAGCGCCTGTCTAGTCTCCACAGAAATTCATCCTTCCATCCACATCATGGTCGATGCAGTCAAGAAGGAAGAGAACCAGAGTAGTAAGAGGCAGTTGTCGACACCCAAAGACGCTTCCTGCACTCACATTCTTGTTTACCCTACCTCAGCCACTGCTCAGGTTTCTATTTTTGTATCAGTAATTTCATGCACCTCATTCTCATTGCAGGTTTAGTTCTTGTTGCATGCCTGAGAAAGTAGAATTTTGTTTATTGATTTGTTCAAATAAATTCGTCAAGTGTTTGCAGTTTTTATGGCGGTAGCAGAAATCTTGACATGTTGCAACGTGAAAGATTTGAAACATCGTTGATAATCACTCCTATGATAAACAGGCCACGGATCCCAACAGCGCCTCAGACACACACATGGACTTCACAGCGACCGAACTGCTGAACGAAGAAGAACTGCTGAATGGATTTGACCCAGAAGACCCAGACATGATCAACGATTTCTGGACCAACCTTGACAACTCACCAGAAAGGATTATTGATGATGAGAACCATGACGATCCCAGCTCTATTCAATCAAGAGGAACTTTCCTGGGTGGCTCCAACATTGAGCATGAAGAGAACAACAACTTGAACTTGTTACAGCAACCTCAGGCCATGGGTTTCTACGTGTCGACTGCTCCTCCTGGCCCACTTCCTGATTGGTTCTGGTCATCCTGTCCACAGAGGCACGATCACTGTCCTGTTTGTCTTAAGGTTGGTTGGTTGGTTGGTTTGTTAATTTAACAGCTCTTACTTAAGAGTTGGCTGGTTGATAGCTTTTTCTCTAATATGATGAACTCTATTGATTTTTTATTAAGTTATTGCTATCAAAGATCGTTCTAATTGGATAATTTCATATAACAGGCCTCGTTACATTTGCATTGTCCAATGGTGCAGCAGAACCAGGATGACCTCATCCACCAATCGTCCAATCATAAAAAGTCCACTCATCCTCTTGATTCATATCTCACCTGCGACGTCCTCAGGTAATTTTTTCCTCCTTGATGCCGCGAAAATTAATAGTTGAAATTTTTTGCTTACTGTCACGTTTGTTTACTTCAAATTGTTTTTATGCACACATCACCACCAACGTTCGTGAATAATTTTCCATTTCATCTCAACTGCCATCCTCACTCTAAATAGGGCTATGTAGTTAGTTCTAAATTTCAATGTTCCCATATGAATACGCAAGCACACCAACAACTACTACTACCAACCGCCTACCACATATTACTCTCTCTCCTCTGGTGCAGCCATCAATCAAACAAGCACCATCGTAAAGTCAATCACAATTAAGCAATCAGTCAAAATCACCCAGTCAATCACAGTCAACCATTCAACTGGTCACACGCACACACACACACGTACACACACACACACACAGGTACGTGCTGGAGACTTACAACGCCCTCTCCTGGCTAACGATCGATCCATCGACCAATGATAGAAGGACCTGTCTGCCGGTGCACATGCTCATCCTCATGCAACTCTACCACGCTGTCAAGGCCTACTTGTAACCTAACCTGCAGCCTAACTCATCTTCAATCATTCGTTCTTCAATTCATTCTCAATCATGCAAACATTCTAATTCTACTACTACTACTGCTGCTGCTGCTGCTTTCCTGAAGATGATGATGGTGATGGTGATCTTGATGGTGAAGATGAGGATGATGATGATGATGACAGTGGTGAAGGTTGGAAGGTGACCATCGTGATTGGTGGTAGGCAGCTCTGACAAATAGTGACCACTGGCGATGGCGGCATGGACGTTGATTGTTTTGGGTGATGTCTGTGCGTTGTTAACGTCGCTGGGGTTGGTATAATGGTGGAAAGATTAGATTCACTGTAACCATTGCGGTTTATAATTGCTCGTGGTGGTGATTGATTGTTCTTGTTCTGACCACATGGCGTGTATTTAATTCATCATTGACTTTGTACTTATTAAATTAATTAGTTAATTAATTAGATAATAAACTTATTTGTTTATCCATCTGTTCATTCATCCATACATTCATTCATTTGTCCGTCAATTACATTGTTCATTTGTATTCACTCCTTCGTTCTCTCTATCCGATCCAGCCGTAGGCACGGAAGAGTCGTTGCATGGAGTGCTGTATTTTATTTCCACTTCAATTTTCTGTTATTATTATTATTATTATTATTATTGTTATTATTTGAATGGCTTATTGTCTATCGCGTAGTTCATTCATTTACCACCAATATTCCAACCGTTCATCATCACCACCGCCATCATCATTGGCATTGTTGTTATTATTACTGCTGTTGCTATTATTATTACTATTATTATTCTTGTTGTTGTTGTTGTTGTTGTTGTGTAGTATATTGTCGTAAAGAGAACGTACGTTCTGATAATGATAATGATATTTCTCTCTAATGAAACCCCCTCCCTCTCCTCCCTACTGGCCAACCGTGTAGGTATTTCATCATTGCTACGTAGGTGGGGTGTAGATTAAACGTTATTATTTTTATTATAGTTATATTACCATTATTATTATTATTATAATTATTATTATTATCAACATTATTATTGTCGCCATATCAACCAATCAATTGATTGATTGATTGATTGATCAATTGATTGATCAATTGATTGATTGATTATTAACATTATTATTGTCGCCATAATTACTATTAATATTATTATAACATGTATGTTATATTTTTTTATTATGTTATTTACATTGCAGAGTTTGTACATATGTTATGCACTTCACAAGTGCGAATGTACAGATTATATATATATATATATATATATATATATATATATATAGAGAGAGAGAGAGAGAGAGAATGTATATTGTTTTAATTTATATGTTTGTTTATTTGTTTATTTAAATTATTAAAAAAATATAAAATCACGGATGGAATGAATGATTGATTGATTGATTGATTGATTGATTGATTGATTGATCGATCGATCGATCGATTGATTGATTGATTGATTGAAAGATGAAATAAATAAATGAAACTCTACGACGCAAAACAATGTACATATGTATATATATTTCAATTACTATAATAATAATAATTAAAATTATTATTATTAAATATTAATATTAAATTTAATTATTATTGTATGATAAATGAATATGTTTATAGTTGATGATAATTTATGACACTTAGACGAAAATAATAAATTTATTGTGTCTTTTCTTTTTTTTTTTTTTTTTCTCCCAAATGTACGTTTCAAATATTTTCAATGAATAGCGAAGAAATAGAATTAAAAGTTATTACGGATCCGTGCACATTCTTAAAGAATTATTTCATTTCTATTGTCTATATTATTATTATTGTTATTGTTATTATTATTATCATAATTTTTATTTTTATTATAACACCGAATGGTGTTGATGTGTTATTGGTTGTACGTAGTTTTTGTTTGTTTGTGCCGATGACAGGAAAAGTTGAAAGATTGAATTATTTTTTAAAACGTCGAATCTGTGTCCTTCGTATTTCTACTTTTGTTATTATTATTATTAAAAAACATAATAATAATTATTATTATTTATAAGGATCTCAAATGTCCAGGTTTAGGCCATATAATGCTTGTTATTTTACTTTTCGGACTAAGTAATTAAAATTCAATGACATGTGTTAGCCGATGACTGAAGGAATAGGAAGAATGGATTGATGAGTGAATGGGTGAGTGAATGAATTGCTGAATGGATGAGTAGATGAATGGATAGATGGATGGATGATTGTTAGGGAGAATGGAGATGTGATGTTTTGGTTCAATCAAGTTTGCATCTCTTTATATTAACAACACGTTCACCTACAATTAACATAACTTCTTAGTAAACAAATGTCCTTTTATTTTTAGTTTTCATTGTTTACATGTTTGTTTAATTTATTTTTATTAATTAATTAATTTATTTATTTACTATGATGCAATTGAAAACTTTCAATTTATTCCGCGATTATTAAAAATACCTAATGTAAATCATTTGATGGAGAAATTGTATCGACTGAAATATCCAATGTTGAAGTATTTATTATTAATCAGCATCACAGCAGCTCAGAGACAATATCAATCACCTACCTTATCGATAATAGCTCTTATATCAAATGTGGGAATGATTAACACCAGTGAACATGAATATCATATTGTGTTGTTGTATTTGGTTAGTTGGACTCACCTGGACCCGATGACCGTTGAGAAACCAGTATTAACTAAGTATATTTACATGATGACTATACGCACACACTGTCACACACAAGTGTGTGTGCGTACGAAAATACAATCTTAGGAATCTTCTGGCTGGTAGGCATGTGTGATTGTGCCAAATGGACGAATAAATTATATATTCAACAAATACTAAAATGCTTTTTTAATTGGAGAATTACGAGAATTACCATTTGTTGTAATGTGGTAAAAGAAAAGATTTTTTTAAGTCGATTGAGTTTGGTGTGTGTGTGTGTGTGTGTGTGTGTGTGTGTGTGTGTGTGTGTGTGTGTGTGTGTTCGTAAGTGCTCGCAAGTGCTCGCATATATATTATAAATTGTGTGTGTGTTTGAGTTTGATTGATTTGTTAGTCTCTTTATTACTTTCGATATTTTGATTTTGGATGGTTTTATACTGAGCAGTTTTGGAAAATTTATTTTGGAAATTTTTAAAAATAAACTTTGTAATATTAAATTTTATCTTCCTCACTATCATACTTATTTTTAACTTTATTATTATTAAATTTGATATTATTATTTATTTATTTATTATTATTACTATTATTAGTTCATTTCATATCAAAGAAATTTCTTGGGTTGGACCTGCATACCAGTTGAATGTTCAATATTTTTATTAAATTAAGGTTATTTATTGATTATTATTATTTATTTGTTTACCCATTAATATTATTATTATTTATCTGATATTTTCCATTATTATTTTTGAAATATAATTTGTATTATTTATTAGTTTCATTGTCCTCTATTATGAATTGAAATATGATTTGCTCTATGTTTCCAAAAAAATTTTTTTTTTTCGATTAATTTTGAAGAAATATTTTGTTTAAAAGATGGAAACTTAATTATTTTCTTGAAAGTACTCAGTACATTATTTTATTGTTATTGTGTATCAAAATTGTCAGTTCTTTCCTTTATGTGAATGTTCGAGTATAATTAATTAATTAATTAATTATTAATTAATTAATAATAATTATAAATGTCGTCATTTTTTGATGAATAATAAAAAATTAAAAGTAATAATCTTGTATCATTTACATCACTATTTATATACAAATATTATTTGGAGTATAGTTTTGTTATTATAATTATTATTATTATAATAATAATTATTATTATTATTATTCTGTTGTCGGTCAACACTTATTGTAACTGTATGATGTTTTAGTGGTCGTTGGTGATGATTCTTTTGGTCCGAGCGTGGTTGTTATTTCTGTTGCTTAATGACCAATTGGTCATCCGTGTCTGTGAATGATGGTAGTCATTTGTTATAAGTGTTGGTGGATGGTGGTTGTTATAAGTGTTGGTGAATGGTGAGGATGAACATGGCGAGATAAATGAAGAATGAGGATGAAGGTTGAGGAGTTGTGTTCAATTTGTTATATGTACTGTTATTATTTGCTTGTGTGAGAGTTGGAATGATGTTTTGTTTTGATGTTTTGTTTGTGTGTATGTGTGCATGTAGTTCTGTAGGTAGACATGATTTTTTGGTATGTATAGAAGCGTGTGTGTGTACTGTGCATGTGTTTGTGTGTGTACTGCGCATGTGTTTGTGTGTGTTTGCTTGTACACCTAGACACAGAGTGGTGAGTTTGTTACTGCGTTTGTTGGTAGCAACGTAGGATCATCATTTAGTATAAAACCCATCAATGCAACTGCAATTCTAATGTTGTTTCAGTTATTATCACTATTTTTTATTAGTAATATTATTATTTTTTATTATTATGAAATTTTTTAGATGAAGTTTTTGATTATGACTCATTATTTAAAAAATGAAAATAATATTTTATTTATAACTTTGAAAAAATTTCTTGTTTTTCATCTACTATTATATATTACTACTTGTTTTGTTACAATATTTAACGGTTGGAACGTCAATTATTCGCCGCGAAACCGAATCCTTTTTTTGAGTTTTTCATTTTGGAAGAAAATTTCACGCAACACTTTTGTTGTTTTGGCTCAGAAGAAGGTCATATGGGTGGAAATTGTTTTGATGACTGTTGTGTTTCAGATATTGTTTCATATTTGTGTAGCGCTTCTAATGAATTGCTATCCTACCTGAGAACCTTTGCGAAGAATAATGTTTTAAACCTTCCTGGGATGCAAATAGATACGTGTTGACTGAGGACCAATTGAAATATATCCCATTTATAGGGGCCTGGGCCTGGCCCAAGTAGCAAATGCTCGTGCCTGTATACCTAGACACAGAGTGGTGGGTTTGTTACTGCGCTTATCTTTGATAACACGAATATTGAAGAAACTACATATCTGTATAGAAAATACAGAAACCAATTAGTTCGATAAATTTTCGATGGGC